CCCCCTTTTTCACTGGGATAAATTAGGCTTTTGAGTGTAATATTTGTATTATAAATGTTGTCTCAGTTTAAAATGTATCAGTATGTGAAGGAGAGTGGTGTACAAGTAGGAGTGAGGTACCTGTAGATGTACCTGTAATACATCTGCATGTAGTGAGTATACTGATATTATATAGGACAAATGATGTACTTCTTGATATAAATTTTGCATCACTGTATGATATTTATGGGTGCAGTGCCTTAATATTTGTGAATTTACATATATGTGACACAGTTAATTGGTTTCCTATTTACTTGATATGGACTTTATCTTCTGGAACCAATTAATATCGTCTTTATATACATTTGGCACTGCACCCATTTTCTTGTGAATAATGTTGATTTCTATAATAAATGTTAACTGGCCTTTTTTGTCTGGTTTTGTTATGGGCGGTTGGGTTGATAATTTAATATTTCCGGTAACGTTAAGGTATTTCATACAGGCTCTATGTCAGTGTATATAGTATGAGATTGGCTGATAACTTTTCCTCAAAATGATAAAAATGTGGAAGTTGGTTAGTTTTAAATAGGTTTGTTATATGCACTATTTCTGTTTATATCCTATAGCTATAAAATATGTTAAATTCTGCCTAAAATGTTGTTAAATTATCAAGTTAACAATAATTTTAGCAAGCGGAATCAAATTCTGAATTGACCGCCATGTTTGAAACTCCGTCTCCCTTCTGATATAGGTCAGACATCTATATATGGGTGTCATGATCATGACCCAATATGGAAATTGTAGTTAACATGGCAGCATCAGTAGTAATACTATATTTGGCCATGCAGGCCATATATAGAACGGATAATTGAGATTACATCACGCTTGATCTGTCATGGCGGTCGTTTCTATTTTTTCCCCCGTCGTCCATCCGTCAACTTTTCCTTTAAAACGCCACTAGTCCTGAATCGTCAAGCAGATTTTGACTAAATTTGGTCTGGAGCATCATTAGGCCAAGGGGACTAAATGTTGTATAAATGGTCAGTGTAGCCCCCCCCCCCCCCCCCCCCCGGGGGCAGAGGGGCGGGGCCCAATAGGGGAAATATAGCAAATCTTTCTAAATCCTTCTTCTTCTGTAGGAATGAAAGGATTTGTTTCATATTTGGTCTGAAGCATCCTTGGGTGAAGGGGAACCAATTTTGTATAAACCACAGGTCTGGCCCCCCAGGGTCCTGAGGGGCAGGGCCCAATAGGGGAAATATAGCAATTTCTTTAAAATCCTTCTTCTTGATCTGGAGTAATGAAAGGATTTGTTCCATATTTCGTCTGAGGCATCCTTAAGTGAAGGGGAACCAATTTTGTATAAACCGTGGGTCTGGCCCCCTAGAGGCCTGAGGGGCAGGGCCCAATAGGGGAAATATAAAAATTTCTTTTTAAATTCTTCTTCTTCTGTAGGAATGAAAGGATTTGTTCCATATTTGGTCTGAAGCATCCTTTGGTGAAGGGGAACCAATTTTGTATAAACTGTGGGTCTGGCCCCCCAGGGCCCTGAGGGCAGGGCCCAATAGGGGAAACATAGCAAATTCTTTAAAATCCTTCTTCTTCTGTAGGAATGAAAGGATTTGGTCCATATTTGGTGTGGAGCTTCCTTGAGTAAAGGGGAACCAATTTTGTATAAACGGTGGGGTGGTCCCCCCTGGAACTGAGGGGCGGCGCCCAATAGGGGAAATAGAGGTAGAACCTTTATAATCCATCTTTTACCAGAGGGATTAAGATATTTTTATCCTAATTTAGTCTGGAGCATCCTCGGGCAAAAGGGACTCAATTATAGGGGAAAAACATAGCAAATTTTCTAAAATCCTTCTTAGGAATGACAGGATTTTGTCCAAATTTGGTATGAAGCATCCTTGGGTGAAGGGGAACCAATTTTGTATAAACAGTGTGTCTTGACCCCCCTGAAGGCAGAGAGGCGGGGCCCAATAGGGGAAATAGAGGTAAAACCTTTAAAATCCTTCTTCTACCATAGGGACTTAATAATTTTAGGGATTTTATCCTAATTTAGTCTGGAGCATCCTTGCGCCAAGGGGACTCAATTTTGTATAAGCAGTTGGTGTGGTCTCCCAGGGGGCACAAGGGCGGGGCCCAATAGGAGAAGTAGAGGAAAAACCTTTAAAATCCTTCTTCAACCATCAGGATTAAGGGATTTTATCCTAATCTAGCAACCTTGGGCCAAGGGACTCAATTTTGTGTAATTGGTGGATATGATCCCCCTAGCTAGAGGCATAAAGGGGTGGGGCTCTGTTTGAAGTTTGTTCTCGCTATATCTCAAGTACTGGATGGATCTGTCTAAAATTTCATATGTACTTACAGCACCTATCATGGAGTGATATATCTTTACTTCATACTTATTATTTTAAACATATTCAGGTGAGCGATACAGGCCCTCTGGGCCTCTTGTTCAACGGATCTCTTTGAAACTTAGTAGGCAAAATAATCATGATATGTTGTTGTGTTTCCTTGAAAAGAATTTGGATTCGACAATTTTTGCAAAAGTTATTGCCCTTTGTTTATTTCAGTATTTGATTTTTGTCCGGCAATCTCCTCCTACATTTCTTCAACGAATCTCTTTATAACTTGGTTTACATTAAAACATGATATGAAGTTGTCTCCCTTAAAAGAATTTTGATTTAAAGAATTCTCCTACATTTTTTGACACTCCAGTGAGATTTCGTTTAAACTTAGTAGGCTAAATAATCATGTTATGTTGTTGTGTTTCCCTGAAAAGAATTTTCTCCTACATTTTTATAGCATTTCAGCTAACCACTCTTTGAATGATGCAGATCTCTTTTCAATGTAAAAAAGTATATAACACTGTATGGCATTCGACGGGCGTATATTGTTCCACCCCCCGGTACTCTTGTTCTATTTTATATATAACTTAAGTACAGAATAATGCTAATTTTGTTTTGATTATCATTTGTATACTGTATATTATTATTGATAACAAACAAGGAACCTATCAATAACATAAGAAATTGAATGATAAATTTCATTAAGTTCCTCTCTTTATTTGATAATGAGATTAGTTTGACCAGGTATCAACACACTGTCAATCGGATAAATGTTGGTAGGTATCCCCTCAAGCATACGCAATCACTAGTACTGGTAACACTAATTATAATTATTCCAAGCACTAGTAAGGTTGTGACAAAGGTCATAAACTAAAACCATACTTGTGTACTTACAGGACTTTATATGAAACAGGAGCAAAATGTAATTTATAAGTGAAAATTTCATATGTCCCGAAACGACTTGTTACCAAAACGACTAGCCTTCGTAAATTCATTAGTAACATTATATAATTATCATTCCACTCTGCTTGATCAAATCTGTTTCTATCTGACTTAAAGGTTTTCCGCCATGGAGACAGAAGTCCTACACATTCTTTTCCGAAAGACAGATATCAGGATCACTGGCCACAGGGACTTGGTCAACTTACAAAGGTAATTATAAATCCCTGTGTACAATACCATCCTTGTGTACAATACCATCCTTGTGTAAAATACCATCCCTGTGTACAATACTATCCTTGTGTACAATACCATCCCTGTGGACAATACCATCCCTGTGTACAATCCCATCCCAGTGTACAATACCATCCTTGTGTACACTACCACCCCTCTGTACAATACCATCCCTGTGTACAATACCATCACTGTGTACAATACCATCCCTGTGTCCAATCCCATCCTTGTGTACAATACCATTCTTGTGTACAATACCATCCTTGTGTATAATACCATCCTTGTGTACAATACCGTCCGTGTGGACAATACCATCCTTGTGTACAATACCACCCTTGTGTACAATACCATCCTTGGGTACAATTCCATCCCTGTGTACAATACCATCCCAGTGCACAATACCATCCTTGTGTACAATACCGTCCCTGTGTACAATACCATCCCTGTGTACAATACCATCCCAGTGTACAATACCATCCTTGTGTACAATACCATCCCTGTGTACAATACCATCCCTGTGTACAATACCATCCCTGTGTAGAATACCATCCCTGTGTACAATACCATCCCTGTGTACAATACCATCCTTGTGTACAATACCATCCTTGTGCTTTTATTCTTATTTTAGATATTTTGAATTAAATAAAGATTAAATCAAATAAACTTATTGAATTTCTCTCGGAGTAAAACTTATGTTACAAAATCTTTAAATTACATTGTGTAAAAAACAGTCTAAGGTCATGATACTTTTAAAATTAAAGATTGTTATGAAGACAAGCTATGTACCGGTAAATCTTTTCATACACCCCTGATTACAGTGTTGAGGCAACTGTCACTGTACGTACCCAAATCGGGACAGTACCCAAAACGGGATACTTATTGGGGGAAAAGGCCCAAGAATAATCGAAACTGTCATTCAATGCAAAGAAGTACTTTTATGTATAAAGTTTCCATTTGATCAATTTAACTGTATGTAAGCTTTATTGGCTGTTGATTAGGATTTGTTAATGGACACTTTAAAGGTAAGAAAAATGACCAAAACAAAACTTTCCTGACTTACTTGCCAAGTGATGCTAATTACTGGATATGTTTTTCAAAAGTCTATTTTATCAAAACTAATGCTAGTTTGGAAAAGAAATTTAATATAAAAATATTTGAAATATATTTTTTTTTTCTGCTGATATTGATCGTTTATCCCCAAATATTCGCTAAATTCCAGAAGTATCTCTTTCAGGGTATAGTTACGACGTTTCAAGTGCCTTCATAACCCTGATGAAATTTTGCGTTTTCTTTATAGAACCAAGCGCCCAAAATATCAAATTGTAATAAAAATGAAAAGTGGATAGTATCTATTTATGAAAAATGAACAAACATTTTTGGAACTGATTGTAGGGTATAATATCTAAAAAGTATCCCGATTTGGGTACAGTGATGATAATGGTCATCTTTATGAGAAAGCCAAGATCAAATAATGTAAACTTGGGTTATAAAGGTTGCTTAATATCAAGTAAATGTCAATAAATGACATCGACTCATTTTGAAGGTCGCAGATTTCAGATGTGTCTTCCAAAAAATAATGCGGTCAGGAAGCCACTTACAAAATGTAGGCCTTTTGTGTGCATATTGCATTACCCGGTACATTGTTTGTATCCTATGGCATAGTACTTTTATAATGTTTGATAAAAACATGATATCACAGATAAGTCAATCCGTTTTATTGGTGACATTGCATTGTTCTTGTCTTTCTTTAAAGCACAAATTTCCAGTCAAGTGAAAAAGCAGATGTCTAAACAATAGAATATTGCAAAATCAAAAATTCATAATAAGTTTAAATTTTAACAGTTTACGTTTTCAGGCTTTGTATGGTGTAATTATAAACATACATTGTATAATCAATGCAAAATTAGGAGAAATTTGAAATTTCACTGTAATATACTGAAAAACAAATTATGTGAATTTATGTTTTGAAGATTGTGAAGTGTTCAAAGGTTTGGTCTTTGTAATATCTGATGGTATGATGTAAAACATGACATATATTTGTGCTTGTTTGTGTGTTTTTCAGATAGGAATGAATCAAGAATATGGACTTGGGAAATTTTTAAGAAAACAATACATACTTGAGGGTACTTATGATGCTTTCCTGAGTTCAAATTATAGCCATTCAGAGGTAATGCTCTCAAGGAATCATAGATTATCATAAACATTAGCATATGTACATACATCATTAGAATATTTTGATAAGAGAAATGCCAGTATTTTGTAATTATCTTTTTTTCAACCATTTGTTAGGAAACTGAACATATATAGTATCTTATATTAACTTTATTTGTTTTACAACAATTATGAAACAAGTTATTTCAACTTATATTAATCACTCTTATTGGCCTGGATGTAGCACACAAGAGTTCTTAGGGTGGGAGGAAACCAGAGTACCCGGAGAAAACCCATGTGGTCGTGCAGGTGACCCTTCCCATCAGGGAATCAAACCCCTGCCACCTTGATGAAAGGCAAATGGGCTATCCTCTGCACCACCTGACCACCCAAAACCTAACAGTTGTGTTTGTCAGTGGTTGTATTATACATGTACTTGGTCTGCATGTTCGACTTTCAGCATATGGGCTACTTGTAATTGTGTAAGACGACTTTAAATTGGGTCTTTGAAATAAAGAATAGATTGTTCATCACTGCTCTGCATCTCAAGTTTATATTTCATATATATAAAAAAACACCAAAAAACCCCCAAACAATTATTGGCGAGAGTTGATGTCCTGGAGAGCTTGTTTAATTTGCCACTTTCTTTACCGGTAACAGTTAGAGTAACAAAAAAGGAGTAATATATTCATTCAAGATATATGGCATTGTAATAAAATTTCCTGATGTTTCAGATTTATGTAAGAAGTACAGATAAAGATCGTACCCTGATGAGTGCCTACTGTGTCCTCAGTGGACTATATCCTCCCAATGGTACCGACCAACAGTGGAACCCAGATCTGAACTGGCAGCCCATTCCCGTCCACACCAAACCGCTTGACGAAGACTTTGTAAGCTGTCATACTGTGCATTTTCAAATACAGTACAATTCATATTTTAGATTTTTATGTACTTTCCCCTTTAGGGAAGTCAAAGGGAATGCAAAGTTACCCGTGCCCGTCCCCCCCACCCCAACCCACTCCCACCCAATTATATAAAACTTAGGTAATATGAGAAAATCTCAAATGAGTTTGTATTTCAGGGTTCAAAGGTAAATGTACATATGCATGCCAAAGTCATCATTACTATTTACAAGATACTATAAAACAATCTTTAGATGATGAGGACCCCCCACTCCCAGGTGTATCATGGCAGGGCATATAAGTGGTTGTTTAATGGAAAATATCTTAAATCAGTATCTCCTCTCAAAGCTTCTATTGGAAATTTTCATAAACGACCCAAAATAATAAAGGTAAGAATTTATACGTAAGAATAAAGAGGCTGATTGTGACGTGTAATGGCCTTAGCCTTTAAATGGCATCTCCTCTAAAAGTTCATGTGGATTTTACCAACAGGAGCATGTCCGTGTCGTCCGTGTTGTGTGGGAACCAAGTTGTCCACTAATGACCTGAGTGGTTTCGTTATGATGTGTAATTCGTCGGAGGTGCAGAGTAAGGAGTTCAGCCCTTTGTATAGGGTGTATAAGGGTAGCACAGGGTGGTGCGGGTGGCATGTGATGACGTAGGGTGGAGTAAGGTGGCAGGGGTTGCTATGGATGGCTCGAATTGGCGTGGAGCGATATTTTTGTTGTTGTTGACTCATCGTACAGTGGACGGGAATAAAATAAGGTAAAGACACAATAAGAAGCAGGTGTGCAGTGTATTGTAACAATAAGAACAAGGGTTACAGATAATTCTATAGATTCCTTAGAGATGTAGTGGTATGTGGTTCTGTATTTGTGTTGTTGCATTTATAGGGTCTGATAAAGCTTCGATGGCAGCAATTAGGTAGAGGAAGGTATATGATGCTTGGTTGTGCTGTGACTGTATGCATATGTGTCTCTTAACTCATTTACCCCTGAAATTTCATAATGAACTATTCCAACCTTTGAATTGGAAGACTTTAAATGTGTCTTCAGGGGTGAATGAGTTAAGACTCCATTGGTGAGTGTAGTGGTTATTGCAGATGTTGCATATCCATTTCTCTGCTGGCGAGATGCAGTGCGTTACATGGGCGACCATGCAACTAGCGAATGTTGTTGTGATCGTAGCTTTGGAGTCATTTGTTTGATGTTGTGTACGTTGGACAGTCTATGACGTCAAGTTGTGTGACGTCATAATCTCTGCGCCTGAATAGTTACTTGATGTTGCATTGCTGTGATCAGCATCATCAGAGAAGTGTGTCTGATGACATGTGTGGAGAGAGAGGTTTATTGGGGTGGCTTGAATACCTTTGGTGGTGTGTTCCCTTAGAGGTAGGTCTAGTAGTCTGGCTATTAAGGTGGTCCTACACGGACACTTAATGTGGTAAAGTACAAAGGAGATGAAGGATATAGGAATGACTGACAATTACAATTGTAAATTGTTTGTGGATTTAGACCAAACTTTCATGAAATCATGCTTAGTTGATAAAAATCAGAATTAATACATAGGAAAGGGCTGATCCTGGGTCGATCCCACCCCAAACCCTCATTGTACTGTCGACATGATGCAAACAATTGACTTACATCTCTTAACCTTTCTGGGGGTTTTGGTGGGTTATTTTCAACTACAAACATTCCATTAAATTATCCATATATGGTTGGGATCGAAACTTGTATTCATTAAGGAGCTAATCTCCTAGGAGGTGCCTAGGGCTGGGAATTTTATTATTATTAGTGCAAAAATGTTCACATGATACATCTTCTCTAAAAGTTGCTGGTGATTTAGACCATATTATTTAAAATATTTCTTCTCTCGATGCCCAACTTTAGGGGATGATTGCCCCACTGGAGTTTTATTCAGTTGAAGTGAAATCTACTTAACAGTAGTGTTAACACTTATATATGTGTATCATTCAAAATTTCACTCAGGTGACTGTTAATTCACAGGGCCTCTTGTCTATTGTTTTCTGTAAATTAGTATTTGTTATCTTTATCCTTTTTTGAAGATAGTCATTGTTTTTGTTAACAGATAAAAAGATTCAAAAATAAATACAAACTGTATTTTAGATATTTTATACCATTGCCTCTGCAATTGAATGTACATACTGAATACTTTATATTGCATAGTGAAACTTAATATTTTATATTGTATAGTGATATTTAATACTTTATATTGTATAGTGATATTTAATACTTTAAAGTGTATAGTGATATTTAATACTTTATAGTGTAAAGTGATATTTAATACTTTATAGTGTATAGTGATATTTAATACTTTAAAGTGTATATATATAGTGATATCTAATACTTTATAGTGTATAGTGATATTTAATACTTTATAGTGTATAGTGATATTTAATACTTTATAGTATATAGTGATATTTAATACTTTATATTGTATAGTGATACTTAATACTTTACAGGGTATAGTGATATTTAATACTTTACAGGGTATAGTGATATTTAATACTTTATAGTGTATAGTGATATTTAATACTTTATATTGTATTGTGATACTTAATACTTTATAGTGTATAGTGATATTTAATACTTTATAGTGTATTGTGATATTGGAATCTTTACATTTTCACAGCTGCTGAATATGAGAGCTCCATGTCCAAGATTCACTGAATTACTAGCTAAATTTCTGGCAAGTGAATTCATAGCCAATTTCACTGCCCAACATCAGGTAAAATTGTTTGATTTTATTAGTTACACAGTTTTACTGTTATAATACATTTGATTTAATTGTAGCACACAAGTTTGTCATTAGTGGCCATTATATCACTATAAAGAAAACTTCTCATTTCAAGATATATATGCAAGACCACACGAGTGAATATATATGTCCATGAAATAAATGAGTGCTTTCTGATTTGTTAGAAAAATACAAGTGTGTGGTCTTGCTTTTATCACATACTTTCCGTATTTGGTAGAGATCGATACAAAGATTTTATAAACTTTGATATTTTTTGCAAATACCGGAAACTTTTCAGTTCGCCATGACAAGGCGATTCCCTTAAAAAGTAGTTCCGGCTAGTAGGTAAATACAACATTCAGTATTGTACATGTGCAATACAGAACGTTGTATTTCATGGTCTGAAAATTGCTCGTATTACTATAACAAGATTCAACAGGTATGTGATAAAACATTTGTATATATGTCATCACTGTATTGAAATTAAAAGTTTTAAAAGATTGATAATTCCTGATATTTCACTTATAAAATTGTAATAAATATGTATACCAGGGTAATCTCTGTAGGTGTCATAATATTGCAGCATTTAATCTACTGTACAAGCAATACATACTGACCATCAATGTCAAGTTTCCCCAGTGTCCACCAATATATATTGTAAACATGGGAGGCACTCAGACTAACACTTCCCTTTCCTGTTTACATTTAACAAGAGTTGTACGAAGGGTAATTATAACCATGTACAACCAATGTGACGAGGAAAATCAAGCATTTTGTACTATACTTGTATTCATTTTCAAAATGGTAGTAATTATGAACTGAAAATAGATATTTTCTGAGATTATATTTTCTAATTTGAAGTTGAAATCTTCACCAACAGGATCTCATAAACAAAGCTGCAGAATTGTCTGGACTTCCAGCAACGTTAGTTGGCCTGATAACTATTGTGGATCCCCTGTTCTGTGAGGTTTGTAATACACTATAGCTACCAACCTTAGTTGGCCTGATAACTATTGTGGATCCCCTGTTCTGTGAGGTTTGTAATACCCTACCAACCTTAGTTGGCCTGATAACTGTTGTGGATCCCCTGTTCTGTGAGGTTTGTTATACACTACCAACCTTAGTTGGCCGGATAACTATTGTGGATCCCCTGTTCTGGGAGGTTTGTAATACACTACCAACCTTCGTTGGCCTGATAACTATTGTGGATCGCCTGTTCTGTGAGGTTTGTAATACCCTACCAACCTTACTTGGCCTGATAACTCTTGTGGATCCCCTGTTCTGTGAGGTTTGTTATACACTACCAACCTTAGTTGGCCTGATAACTATTGTGGATCCCGTGTTCTGTGAGGTTTGTATTACACTACCAACCTTAGTTGGCCTGATAACTATTGTGGATCCCCTGTTCTGTGAGGTTTGTATTACACTACCAACCTTAGTTCGCCTGATAACTATTGTGGATCACCTGTTCTGTGAGGTTTGTAATACACTACCAACCTTAGTTGGCCTGATCACTATTGTGGATCCCCTGTTCTGTGAGTTTTGTAATGGATAACCAACCCTAGTTGGCCTGATAACTATTGTGGATCCCCTGTTCTGTGAGGTTTGTATTACACTACAAACCTTAGTTGGCCTGATAACTATTGTGCATCCCCTGTTCTGTGAGGTTTGTAATATACTACTAACCTTAGTTGGCCTGATAACTGTTGTGGATCCCCTGTTCTGTGAGGTTTGTATACACTACCAACCTTAGTTGGCCTGATACCTATTGTGGATCCCGTGTTCTGTGAGGTTTGTATTACACTAACAACCTTATATTAGTTGGCCTGATAACTATTGTTGATCCCCTGTTCTGTGAGGTTTGTAATACACTATAGCTACCAACCTTAGTTGGCCTGATAACTATTATGCATCCCCTGTTCTGTGAGGTCTGTAATGTACAACCACGTTAGTTGGCCTGATAACTATTGTGGATCCCGTGTTCTGTGAGGTTTGTATTACACTACCAACCTTATATTAGTTGGCCTGATAACTATTGTTGATCCCCTGTTCTGTGAGGTTTGTAATACACTACTAACCTGAGTTGGCCTGATAACTGTTGTGGATCCCCTGATCTGTGAGGTTTGTAATACACTACTAACCTGAGTTGGCCTGATAACTGTTGTGGATCCCCTGTTCTGTGAGGTTTGTATACACTACCAACCTTAGTTGGCCTGATACCTATTGTGGATCCCGTGTTCTGTGAGGTTTGTATTACACTACCAACCTTAGTTCGCCTGATAACTATTGTGGATCACCTGTTCTGTGAGGTTTGTAATACACTACTAACCTGAGTTGGCCTGATAACTGTTGTGGATCCCCTGATCTGTGAGGTTTGTAATACACTACTAACCTTAGGTGGCCTGATAACTGTTGTGGATCCCCTGTTCTGTGAGGTCTGTAATACACTACCAACCTTAGTTGGCCTGATAACTATTGTGCATCCCCTGTTCTGTGAGGTCTGTAATGTACAACCAACCCTAGTTGGTTTGATTATATATAACGGATCATTTGTTTTGTGTCGTTTATATTATTACACCACACCAAAAGCTGTAATTCTTTCCAATTAATAATTACTGTACATCATGTTATTTTCGAGGAAGCGTTATTTACGCACTTTTGAATTTCACAGAGAGATCCATCTACCAAATCAACAATGCAGCAAATATTTCCATATCTGGGCATTATAGTAGGATCTAGTTTGATACTAAAGACGAAGAATACCATTTTAAAATATCCGAGTGTTTCTGCTTGGCCAATATTTAATTACGCTGGCACTGAATGGGAGGCACATACATGGACATTTACATTTCCACTGCAACTTCTTCTATAGCAGTACCAGAAGGAATGGTGTTTATAGGGGCTATGAAACCAATATTAATTTGATCAGTGTAATCTGGATAAACATTAGACTTTACAGGAACTTTGATGTAGCTATAAATCTGAAATTCACCATTAACCAGCTAGAGATGTGGTAACACATGAACATTGTATAATGTGTACCGGGGTATTTGTGTTTTGAGTCTTATGTAGAGCATCATAACCAATCCTGTACCAGAAATAAACTTAACTTAACTTATCCTCAGAATGTCATCCGTTGATTAAAAAATAAGAACAAGAGTTTGTCATACTGAACTGTGTGTTCCAGTACACCAATAACCTGAATATGTCTGAATGGGAGCAGGTCATACCACTACATCCCTTACTGACTCAACTCTTGGATTTCCAAAACTCGTACATGTTTTACACAGACGAGATGGCCAAGCTTAGAGGAGGTAAGTTTTTAATTGTATATGATTATATTGTACTGCTTTTTTACAAAGGATATACCTGTAGTGTTGTCTGAAGAGGTATAGTGTCCAACCTGAAACTTCTAGCTTACAGGACATAATGGAATCAGTATAATTGTATATAATGTATGTTACCGAGTACCATTTTGGCTCTCGTTAACATGCAGATACCCTCCATCCATTTCTGAATGTGGTTTCGAGAGATTTTGTTTAAACATTGAGTTTAAGGTTTTCTTGAAGTCCCATGTAGAGTCCAATTTAAACTTTTATCAGTTGAATTTCTCACTGTTTCATATAACTATATACAATCAAGTCCAATTGTTAGGAAAACATTGACAATAACAACTAATAACTTGAAGTAAAATAATTACCTGTACAAGAACTTTTAATGTCCCAGGGTCACTTTTAGATCACCTGGCCCAAAGGGCCAAGTGAGCTTATGCCGTGGCGCAGCGTCCGTCGTCAATATATAATTTTAAACAACTTCTTCTTAATAACCACAATTAAGGCCTAGGGTGAATAACCAAAATGCCAAGGTTGATGATATTTGGCAAGTAGCATGCTAGGATGAAGGGCTACCAAGTTTGTTCAAATGAATGACCTTTACATTTATTCAAGGTCACATGGATCAAATATGTTCAAAACCTTTTACCACTTCTAAATAACCAGGAGGCCCATGATGTTTCTATTTGGCCAGTAGCATGCTAGGATCAATATCTACCAAGTTTGTACAAATGAATGACCTTGGCTTATATTCAAGGTCACCGGGGTGAAATATGTTTAAAACCTTTAAATGACTTCTTCTGAATAACCATGAAGCCCAGAATGTTATTATTTGCCCATTAGCATGCTTGGATGAAGGGCTACCAAGTTTGTTAAAATGAATGACTTTGACTTATATTCAAGGCCAAAAGGGTCAAATATGTTTAAAACTTTAAACAACTTCTTCTGAATAACCAAAAGGCCCAGGATGATGATATCTAGCCAGAAGCATGCTAGGATGAAGGGCTACTAAGTTTGTTTAAATGATTGACCTTTTTCATTTGAGTGACCTTGACCCACTTTCAAAATTCACATTGAGTCAAAAATGTATAAACATTTAAATGACCTAATCTCAAAAGACAAAAGGTGTAGGGAGGTGATATTTTGCAAGTTGCGTGCTGAGATGAAGGGCTATACAGTTTGTTCAATGTAATGACCTTATTCGACTTTCAAGGTTACAGGGTCAAATCTTTTAAAATCTTTTAACAGGTTCTTTTGAATATATGACTTATAGTCTTAAATACTGATATTTTGCCTACATGTAGCTTTATTTTAGATCACTTTTAAGGGTACAAGTGTGAGATTAATACCAGGTGAGCGATGCAGGCCCGTTGGGCCTCTTTTTACACCTAAACATGGAATCTACCTAAATGCATTAATACATTTTTTTTCTAATCACATTAAATCCAATATTTATAGATTTAAAACTAAATGTCCTGCTTTGTGTTCCGCTTAACAACCACATTTGCACTAATGCAGTATATACAGGATTTCAAAAAGGTTCGAAGATCAACATTTGTGAGTGGAAGTCTCAATGTTTCAAAAGATTTCCCAATGATCCTTCAATGTTCAAAACCTGGAAGTTTGACTGTATTTGATTTATAAACAAATGTAAAGATAGTGTAAAAATAATCCAAACATTCTTTTCATGATGACCTCGTGTATCTGATACTTTGAACTTACAGGTTCATTATTGGGGAAAATTATTGGAAATATGGAGAGCGCTTTAAACCCTCCATCTCCAACACAACCTTCTCCAAAGATTTACCTGTATTCAGCAGTAAGTATGAATTTCCCACCAATACACCTGTCTGTCTTTTGATCAAATCATAACAAAACAATACAAAAAATTTTAAAAAATTCAGCATGGATTCATGATCAGATATAGAATTACTGGTTAGGGCTGTTCTATATATGAATATTTGGGGAGAGGTCGTAAAAGGGCATCAATATTTTAGAATTGGTGGTGGAAAACAGAAAAATCTGAAATAGCCAAAACATTATGACACTTTAATTAATCCTTTTAGCAATAAACATCTAATTATACCAAGATCTTCTAGTCATTGTGAAGATGTGGACCACTTTGACGTGAAGATGTGGACCACTTTGACGTGAAGATGTGGGCCACTTTGACGTGAAAATGTGGGCCACTTTGACGTGAAGATGTGGGCCTCTTTGACGTGAAGATGTGGGCCTCTTTGACGTGAAGATTTGGGCGTCTTTGACGTGAAGATGTGGGCCACTTTGACGAATGATGAGCTTGTTTCTCTCCTAATTTCATTTTACTGCACTTCAAATGATTAAACATCTTATTATGATTATTTTTTTAAATCTCTTACATATATATATTTTTCTCTTTTATTTTAGCATGACACCACCATTGTTGCTCTGTTACGAGTGATGAATGTATTCAATAGTAGGACACCTGGGTATTCCTCGTGTCTGATGGTGGAGCTATGGACGCCAGAAGGACAGGGCAAACCCTATGTCAAGGTCCTCTACAAAAATGTGACGGACTCTGACAACCTTGTCGTACTTCACATACCAGGTAAAGCTGTGGGATTTTAGGTCACTTATCAAAGTTTTGCCCGAGTCATTCAGATGACCTATTCTTATTGTCTTTTGTGTGTTGTCATAAATAATCTTTAAAGAATTATATTTTCGACTCCTTCAAACCTTCAATAAGATTCATCAGTTTGGATATGTAATATCAAAGTTTTACTTTCTACACAAACAATGTATGTATTAAATGTGTCACAAGACGAAATGGTGAGGTCCCTTTGTCAATTAAGCTAGGACTCAAAACGTGGTATGGTTCAAAGACTGATAGCATTCCTACAGTGACAGTAATAAATATAGTTGATGAAAAAAGCATACTAATCAGCATTATAATACAAGGCATTTATCTCAATATGCATAAAATAAATATATATACGGTAGTGTGATGTGTACATGATGTCTATGCAAAGAGCCTGAAGTTCACACGTAAAGAGGTAGGTCAAACTTTATCCTTCTTGAATTTAGCAGAGTATATTCAAGAAGGGATGACCATCAGGGGGATTATAAGGGGCAGAACAGTAAGGGTTAGAACAGTAAGGGTTCACAGAGTACAAAACTCTCAAATGACATCATCTCTTGCTGAAACAATCCAGTGAATTTTTAATATTACCCCATAAAATTATCCTTAGATTATGAGGTAAGATCTGTAATCAAGAAAGGGCTGACCCAGAGGGCTTATGGGGAAGAGCATAAAAGGTCACGGAGTGTAATATTTTGAAATAACGCCTCTTCTTAATCTTACAAGTGTATTATCACCAACCTTCCGTAAAATGTTCCATAGATCGTAATCATAGTAAAAATAAAATAAAAATATATTTTAACAATTTTTTACAGTTGACCAATTATGAGTATTAAATTAATATACATTTTATTGTTTCCTTTTACAGGATGTGGGAAGAACTGTACATTAGAAGACTTTACCAAGCTTTTAAAAAACAATGTACCAAAAGATATTCAAGCAGAATGTAACCCTAGTCTGCAGCAAAATTCTAAATCAGGTAATTAGATTGATGTTTTCTGATGTTGTAGTCACCTTCCCACCAAACAAGTGTCTATTTGAAGGACATACTTTTTGCTTGCATCTGTATTCCTCAAGGAGCGGTGCTTGCTTACCATATTCATCAGTATCTAAAACTACAAATGGTTAATTTTCAAATTACAAAGATATACATTGTATTAGTAATATATCAATATGGGGCAAAGAAATAATTCTTGCAGTGTAGAGACAATATGATGTTGTCAAGTTTTCAAAGCAATCCGCTCCTTTATCGAGACACAGAAAAAACCCACAAACAATTACGTAACATAAAACCAATATCAGAAATATAATAGGATAGAGCTAAAATATTTTGAAAGCAATAAGCCCTTCGGCTAGCGTTAGCATAAAGGCAGTAATATATTAATATATATACAGATGAATATATAGAGGCCCCCTTTTCTTACCATCGTGATTAACAGTGTGTTTAGTAGTTAAGGTTTTGTCTTCGTTTTAGCTTCTGAACCTCTAAAAGTTATTTTATGACACTTCATAATAGTATGTGATCTTGAACCAGGAAAGGACAGCCTAACACACAATATTTATTGTAGACCTAAAGTCACGCTTTTTGTCCTGTAGCTTGCAAGGATGTATGAAAACATGAAAAAATAGTGTGAAGCCAGGCCCTTTGGGCCTCTTCTTTATGACCCCATGTAGTTTTAAGGTATTATATTAACCATAACATTGCTCTATGAATGTCAGTACCTTTTGTCACTATCATAACTACGGAATGGTTATATTATATACATGTACTATAAATTAAAAACCTCTGCTCAGGTGTCTGTTCTAATTAAATACTTTAAGACACCATTTAACTACGATGTATTATATATATGCAAACTCCAGCTTTTAAAGACATTCCAAACATTTTCAAACATATACTATAAAACCTCTCTACCGGTACTCTGGTGTCTGTTCTAATTAAATTCTTTATATTTAGACACCATTTAACTACGAGGTATTATGCAAACTCAAGCTTTTTAAAGACATTCCAAACGCTTTAAAATATATTTGAGTATGCATCATTTATATTAAAGCAAACTGACAAATTAACGAGCATGTCAACTGAAAGTAAACTCATTAAGTAGATGGTAAAACAAGGTTTTGTGTTTTTCAGACATCCACGTTGGTATAGTGGTTCTGGGGTGTTTGGTGGCTCTGTTAGCCCTCGTAGTGACAGCCTTGATCACCTTCATCTGCAAGAGACGCCAAACCCTACAGTCATATAGACCACTGTCAACAGACGACGACGACTACGCATGATGCCCGTCTCAATAGCATTACACAACATTGGATAATGATAAACCTACGAAGTCTATCTCCATTGTAGCATTGGGTAAAGATGAATCTGTATCAAAAACGTTCATCACAGGGAACTCTGATGTGAAAAATGTTTGAAACTTTCAAACATTATTTCTTAAAACTGTTGTATTTACATCTTCTCTGCATTGCCAATGTATAAACCTTCCAAAAGTCAGCTCTGAGTTACGATACCATATCCCAGGAGTCATGATTGTGATGTCAGTACACTTGTGATGTCATAATCTTAGTATTTTAGTTTTATGTTCTTCTGTTACTAAACATATACCGCAATACACAACAGAGACCGGCAAGATGGCTGTTACATTACCTGTGCTTTTATTATCCAGAATGCAATATTACAATTTACAACCTTGGAACCAAATCTGCTCATAGCAACCACTACATTGAAATATATGTCACTGCTGTCTTTTGGCTTTTCCATTTGTTGGAAATCTACCACAGATTTGAAGAAATTCAAATATCAGTTAATTGTCAGAATCAATTAAAAATAACAAAAAAATATAGAATTGCATTCTGTTTTTAGGTATTTTCCTGTAATTCTTAATAAGAATCATTGACAAAATATGCATGATGGAACTTAATTAAATTGTCTGCAGCATGCACTCTGTTGAGATTTATAGGGCAATAAATCTGAAAAGAATGCAATTTATTTCTCAAATAGTCTAAGAAAATAATCATATTTTACACAGATACAAAGATACACAGATATTTTGTTGGAAGTACTGTTCAGTTTACAGAGAAAACAATAGAGATATACCTTCCAGGGATTATAAATGGTTATAATTAATTATTTTTAAAAAACAATCATATCTATCTGGAATTGTCCAGAATACGAGGTATTTTATTTTACAACCATTTCGGGCCGAACAAAGTAGTTGTTATTTTCAGGTCTCTAAACATTTTGAAAGGTTATCAGGAAATGATTTTCTTTCTTGAGCTGAATTTAGTATTTGCTAAATGTAATATTTAAATTATGACAAAGTAACATGAAAAGACATCATCATGCCTTTGAAGAGACCATCTGGAAACTTCATAAGGAGGTTTTCAGAACCACCACTGTCTTACTGGTATCCTTCTCTGTGCATTGATCATGAAAAAATTGGTTGATAATTACAGATTTCCCCTAAGGTAAATCTACCTGTTAATATATTTTTATCTACATACAGATATTTCATTGAATCTAAATTAATCAAATATCCACTTATGACTTTGATATTAAACATTTTGTATCCCTTTATACAATGTATTTTGTTTACATTTAATGTAAAGATACTAAAGTCTGACAAATCTGTAGTATGTTATTTCTCACAGTATTAGGCTGCTGTCTCATCGGTCGTTTTAAGGTAAAAGGTACCACTGCATCGTTTAAAATTGTAAAGAAGAGTTCAATTAATTATTGTTTTCTTTTTTGCTGGGAATAACCTCCCTTCTAAGTAAAAGATGAAGCAACAAGAAGTTTTTTTTTTCTAGCTTAGAGTACCTTCCCTTGTCAAGTTTTTCATAGACTTTGCGACCCATAAATTGAACAGTCATTTTAAAGCCGTGCTTCTTTATACACTGATAAAGAGTAGGTTTCTCACTGCAAAGGCCCTGCATTTGACCTGTGAGCTTGCTGTTTCCAGTTTTATATTTTTTATTTCTTTTCTCAAACATTCTTTATTCAAATCGCTTCTTTTGAAAAGGACTTAAACAAATAAATCACAATGGGGCTGTTGTAAAAATATAGTTTGAATAGGGTCTTAAGTTTAATGATATGTCATGGTATCACAGACTTTCTCTGTCAAGATGCTGATATTTGACATATTTTGTAAAATACCCATTTGTCTTTCTTCTGTTGTACAACACATATACATGACAATGTAATGTACTATTGATACTTACTGTTACCAGAGACGTATGTACAGGTAACAGCAGAGACATATTATGTAGTATATTTGAATAATGCATGGTTGACTTGTTGAAAAAACAGTGTTTAGTTTTTAAAACACGATAATATCAATTCCATTGTTGTCATGCTTTATATTTGCTGATCTTGGGTATGTTTATATTGAAATGTATGTACCGGTACAGATGTTAAGTGCCTTGAAATATTTAAACTTGTGTCAATATTTTCTTAACTGTTATTCGGATCTTTAAACTTCAATGAGGACATTGTGTTAAATTGTTAATAGAATCATGTCTACAACTTTAGTTAGGTATTGACAAAATGGATTTGTTTTTTGTCTATTGCCATATATTGCAACTTGGACAAGAATGTCCAGAAATTATGCTTCAAGTTAGTCACATGATGACCCTCTAGATTTCTATAAAGGGCAATCAAAATTGCATTATGTAACAATAAGGAAATGCTTACCAGGTATGTTCATGGCTTAAAATAAAAACAATATTTTTTTCACTAAGGTCATCTGAAATTGAGAAAACCCTGAATAGTCGATTGTAAGTGGATCTAGGTAATGAGAGTTGTCTCCCCTAAAACCAGTTAAAAAGTTGAAAAACAATTAATTTATTGACTGTCTCAATCATTCAAGTATTTTAATGACAGTGACTTTCAACAAATGTGAAACCATTTGGTCATACAACCAGAATGCAGCTGGATAAAAGTCAAATAATCAGTAGTAGAGACTCAAAAGGCAAATAAAAACACTTTCAAGTGTTTATAAGGTCTTCTTAGATCTTCACAGAATAAGGATGATGCAAATTTTTAGGAATAATATATTATATTCCTCAATCTGATCAAAATTTGGACCATATACTGTATAACATTCCTCTAGGATACTCTTCAGTAGCTAAATAGGTTCATGTCTTGTTAAGTGCATCGAGTCTGTATAGTCATGGCCGCTAGTAGAAATACACTGTCTTAATTAAATTGTATTGGCAAGTTCACAGCCTTAAACATTCCTCGTCATGTTTTGTTATTTGTGTGTACTACAGTGTTGTATATTTGAATATGACATACTATATTTATCGTGCAATAAGCCCAAAGATCCGGAGCCAACACATTCTCCGACTCTGTGATATGATATGGCCTTATTACTTCAGTGGCTGACTTGTGCCATTTCACTGTTTCGCCACAAAAAGCCCAGATATAGTAACTTTAAATTCTTGTAGTTTCATCTTTTCTGGGCGAGAAAACAAAAGAATGAAAATTAAGATTTGTTCATTCTCATCTTGTCAAATGAGAATTAAGGTTTGTTGATTTTTTGTCCGATAGGGATGAAAAGATGAAAACAACAAGAATGTAGGTGTGTTAATTCTCGCCTCTTTGAAGCAAAAAGACCAAACAACGAAATTGCATATATCAGCCACTGTATATTGCAGGACAACAAATTAGCATTTTATGTATGTTGACTTTTTGCAATGAACTATATTAGAATTGGATGAGGTTGTTACCAGGCATAGGCTTATAGACAGATAAATATGATACTGTAATGTTTTTATTTGTAAATTATGGTGAAATATTATTCTATGATCATGCTTACTGAAAAAGGAGAAATCTTTGTCCATTCAATTACATATTGAGATTATCTACTCTATATAGGATTAATGAAATGGTATTTATTGATTGACATGTATATGGGGTACAGATATTTTGGTACTTAGTGGTTTTGGTATCAAGATGTTTCAGTAATTGCGTAAGATGTTTCCATATTTCCTACGATTTTCAGCACTTGGACCAACATTTCATTACTTTGTACTTTGTTTGCTTTTTGTGTTCTGTATTTTCTGATTTTATATTTAAAGATTCTTTTCATCTTAACAAAAAAACTGAAATAAAAACATCTTATACATACTTTGGTACCAAAACTATCGGGTACCAAAATATCTTTGATTCTATATGTACTATACAATCACCTTGAAACAGGCAGTGTTTCTGGTGTTAGGAGGGGCTGGATTTTCATACATCGTCGGTATATAAAATGCTGTAAACATAAAAGTTGATCTTGCTTATCTTAAAGTATATCCAGATATGTTATTTTTGATGCAGCAACATAATCATTGAATGGTTTTTGCATTTACAGTGTCATTTTTCATGATTAAATTCTGAAGCATTTTGGAAGGATTTGAATTTTCTACCACTTCAAATTGTTTGCTTTTTTTTTTTTAATAAATTTTGTTTGATTTTAAAAAAAATCAACGTTTTTATTCTTGGAAATAACCATGAAAATGAATATCCACCAAAAAATATGTAATCTAAAGTTTATGTGCTTTCAATAGAAATGCAAATTCAGTTTTCATAAAAAAACATTAGACTTAAGTGAGTATAAATTTTTAATCTTTCCAAATTTTGTCCACCTCGTTCACAAAATGTTAATTTGTATTTACTTTTTACCGCAGTACCGGACTTGTATTCGGGTTTAAGCGTTAAAAGAGTTTCGTGAAAATGTACCTCGGCCCAATAATATGCCACCTTATTTGGTTTTTACAACACAAAGTATACCCGAGTTATAAGATTATTTTAAAATTCAAGTGGACAATAAAATGTATATTTATATTTCATTTGTTTGTGTTCTGTATGTGCTGTATTACAATAACACCGAGGATGATCGGGTGGCGCAGTGGATAGTGACCTGCTTTTTGCTAAGACAGCCGGGGTTCGACACCCTGATCAGACATGAAAAGGAATTGGGCAACCTGCCCAATTACAAAAATCACATCGGCTTGATCTGGGTACGCTCAGTGGTTTTATCCCTCATTCAGACTTCCTGCACACATTCATCAAAGCCAACCACAGGAGCTTGTTTCAATCTATAGAAAATAAGTGACGATGTTTATGATTTTGTACTGTATGACAACAACATTCTTCAATTATTATTAATAGTTTTACTTTTACACAAATAATGTACCGCTAAAACATGTTGAAACACTAAATTTAAGATCAACAGGTCCCTTTGACATTTTTTTTTTAAACACAATGTATATATCAAAAGTGTCACAAAGTTTCAAGACCGACTGGTCCCTGTGTTGATGGCTTGAAGGGACCAGTCGGTCTTGAAACAATGCGACACCTTTAATATGTACATTGTTTGTGTATAAAATAGAACTTTTATATTACTTATTTTCAAACTGATGAATCGTATTGAAAACATTCACTTATTATCTGTTAATCGAATAGAGCTCCTGTGGGCAGACAAAATTATAACAATGTTCCTCTTCATTTTACAAAAAAAAATCTTCCTGCTACACTTTCATGTTGTTGGCTTGCTTGGTCGAGAGGACTGATGAGTTTATGCCCTGGCATGGTGTCTGTTCGGGAAATTTTCTTTAAAAAACGCTACTAGTCCTGAAAGGCTATCCAGGAAATGGATTTTGACTAAATTTGGTCTGATCATCCTTGGATAAAGGGGTCTCAATTTTGTATAAACGGAGACTACAAAATAACGATAGTAAGCGTAGCTCTTGTATATTGTTGTATGACCCAACAGTAATACCCATTATATCAACTATTCTCTAAAGGTCAACAGAGCGACTAATAACTTATGACAGACAGACATTTTCATATCATATCAAAGGTAAAAGCTTTGAAACCATGGATTCTGCATACAGAATCCTAAAAAGATCAGACTTTTTAGCTCACCTGGCCCGAAGGGGAAATAGAGGATTTTTTTTCTCCTGCTATACAAGTGAAGGGATTTTAACCAAATGCAGTCTGAAGCATGATTAGGGACAAAAGAATCAATTTTGTATAAACTGAGGTGTGTGGGCCTCCTTCTAAGGGCAGATAGGTGGGGCCCATTAGGGGAAATAGAGGAAAACATTAAAGATCCTTCTCCTTCTGTACCGTTGGAGGGATTTTAACCGAACCAAACTTGTTTTAGAGACTCCTTGGGCAAAGGGAATTGAATATTTATAAATGGAAGATGCAACTTTGTTACTTGTACTCCTTTGATAAACCTGAATGGTACTCGGCAGGTTTTAAATTGAAAAATAAAATACCAGGTGAGCTATTAAGGCCCCTGGGCCTCTTGTTTTGTATGTGGTATATTGACTATTCCTACCATAACACAGCAGAGACTAGAAGGTCTCAATCGTACTCCCGAGTTGAATCTTCATTAATACAGTATTTCATCAACAGAAAATCTTCCATTACACCTTAGTTTTTGTTAGAAATTGTCGTGAGGTAAAGGGTACTAACAAGTTTAAATAAACATAATTACCAATGTCACTATTGTAAAATATGTATTAACTTGTTCACCCCTGAAATTTCATAATGAACTTTTCCAAACTTTGTATTAAAAGAGTTCAAATGTGTCTTTAGGGGTGAATAAGTTAACCCTTTCACCCCTATGCAACTTTAGTAAACTCTACTATGCATTGATCTGGATGACTCCATTATGGTCAACAGTGATGAAAGGGTTAAAGACCTTCTCATAAGAAATATTTCATAGAAATCACATATTGCAATGCATTTGATAGAACTGTAGAAGCAAGAAATCTGCAGGAGTCAAACTCTGAACTTTACCATTGTTGCCATATAGGAATTTACAGGCACAGAATCAAAATGAGTGTCCAAAGCATATGAAAAACTTGAAAGGGGAATTTTACTCTTAAGTCAGAAAAACTCCTACAGGCTGCTTCATTTTCTATATAGAGGACGAGTATAGTTAAAATAATTTATGAGTGGAACTCTTCTTCACATTTAAAACAGAGGCAGTGGTACCCTTTACCTTAACTCCACCAACAGGACTGGAAGACTCCTTGAAATTATTCAAGAGTTTCCAGATGGATCTCAGCACCCACTACTGTTAAATCTTCAAAAGTTCTATCCCCGGTGGGGCCACACTATTCTCTTTCCTGTTACAGTTCTATGTAAGCATTATCTATTGGATTGCTAGCCTTGTCAACAGTAAATGTGTTGCGTTTAACTTTTGATTAAACAATTTTTACAGCTTGATTTCTAGGTTCTTTCAAAGTTAACTAAAATTGTCATGTACTGTAAAAAATATATCGAACAACAAAGAAATTTCTACTTTCGGGCAGCCATGTTTTTTCCTGATCAAGCCACTTGAACCTCAAAACACAATATGCAAAACAGCAGTTCCCCTTGTTACATCAAATATGGTGTGACCAAAGTTTATGTATGTTTGCACTAAAAACAATAAATATCTTAACAACAATTTAATAACACCATTGTATTTTTAATTTGCAAGCAAACATTCAACATTTTTAAGAGGAAAGCAAATCACATTATAATACCATGACTTTTAAACATACAAATGTAGTAACTACATATAACCATAGATCACATATGGTCTGTAAACCAGCTCTAAGTTGTAGGCTGTATTCTGAACAAGCCTGTCACATTTGGTTCCTTGTGACTACCATCACAAAATGGTGGATTGTCTGTCTGCTTACAGCGACACAGCCAGTACTCTTTGGTCTCCTCAACACTGAATCGCACTGGTTTTAACCGCAGGTTTTTAAACTCTTCTCTCTTTCGCTTATGGTTTCCGTCACAAAAAGGCTAAGGAAAGAAATGAACTTTTAGTAAATGCATTCATATATATCCCTTTCAACTGTGTTATGAAGAAAGTAGAAATACTGATGATGAAGTACTGCCATTTTTTTTTTTTCATGAACATTGATTTTTTTTATTGGCATGACAATGCTTCAAGAAATCTTTTCTGTAAATAAACTCATACATGTACATGTACCTTGCATAACTTTTATGAAAAAATAAAGATGAAGCACATACAAAAACAACAACAGATCTCTATGGGTAAATGGCATAGGCGAGAATATGATTCAAACCCAGTTGATCTGAGCAAAACAGTCACACTAATTATAACCAATCAAGCTACCTGGTCAGTGGTAGTTCGTCATCCAAGTCTCATTACAACGGTGTAAAATGAAATTAAGGGGAAATTACTGTGTGTATGAACAATTTCTAGTGTTTGCTAGTTGGATATAATTGACTATCTCCTTTTGATTATTTTTACATATCTTTGCCCTATCAATTTTTTAGAAAGAAAAATACATTGTATATCTTAAGAATTTTGCTAGTCTGAAATAATTGACTATCTCCTTTGAAATTTTTGGTTGATGTCTCTACCCAATTGATTTTTTTTAGAGGAGATAGTTATTCCTGATAAGTGTTTTGCCCTCAGTTAGACAGGAATCCTAAACTCGTTCACCCCTGGACACACATTTGAACTCTTCCAATTCAAAGGTTGGAATAGTCCATGATGAAATTTCAGGGGTGAATGAGTTAAGTGAAAGAAGCTAGCCAGGGTATGTTTGTCATCAAGTGACCAACTGCCATTGATTTATCAGTGTAAATGATTCAAGTGTTAATGTTTGCATTACCTGGGTATGGCTGTGTCCACAAGCACACCAAGAGTATTTCTTGCCTGCCTGCAGCTCCATCCTGAACGGAGTCCTGTCCGCTATTCTTCCCTTTACAATGTCTGTGTTGGGGTACTGGTTGGCTAGGTCCGTCTCGGGGTGTATTACTATCTTTGGTTGCACTTCTTTATCTTTAGAGCTGCAGGTCCTAGTACAATTCTGAAAATAAAGGTTTTTAGAAGACATCACCACAAACATAGTTGACAAGAAATAGACAAACATTCTGGTTAATGGCTTCTTGAAAGCATTTGATAAAATCAGTTATTAGCCTACTCCAACACAGGAACATACCAACACAATATCTGGGGATGTTATAGCCTACTCCAACACAGGTACATACCAACACAATATCTGGGGAAGTTATAGCCTACTCCAACACAGGTATAGCCAGTTTTTAGATGATTTTAGTTTGATCTGCCTATTTGAACACCAAAAGTATCAAAATAAATCATCAGCATGATTGTGAAGACCACTTGTAAGAAAAAGAGTTTCTGTTTGTCCAACTTTCTTTTATAAAAGTTTAATACAGCAAAAAACAAAGATTTGCAGTATTTGAATGAAGTAGAGTCGTGGCACAGCTGTATCCAATGGCAACGTGTATATTTAAAGACGATAGCAAATTTTATTCAAAAATTGAATTACCTCCCTTAATGACTACAACTTTAATATCTTCATGGGACTTCATGTGCTATAAAAAATGATGGCTAACATGTTCCATGTAGCAATTCTATTCAAAATCTGTGACCTTTTATGCAGAAATTTTGAAAACCCAACATACAAATTGTAGTTACCAACTGGTCAGTTATACCATGTACAAATTGAGCAGTTTTGACATTACACACCAAGTGAAAGCTTCAGGTAGCTTCTTGTGGTCTTGATATTCCTATACTTATATGTGACTTCCGGTGCATATTGATATAGAGGAAATAATACCCAGAAATTTTAGTTTTAAAAGGAAGTTTAAAATACTAAATGTTCTGGACAGGAACTTGCCAGTAGCAAGGAGCATTTAATTTAAGAGGCAATCAGACCAGAACTTGTCGAGTCTGTGTTAAAAACTATTCACACTTGAAGCATTTCTCACATGGTTTGACAAGACTTTTCCAGACCCCCTGTTGCTGTAGCTATTACTGCTGATTTGCCTGTTGGTTCTCTGTTTGAAGAGCTTTATATTGTTTCCAATGGTTCTGGTTTTGCTGTGATCCACAATGTCTGTTCCCTCTATGATCCTGATGGAATGTTTGGATCAGGTCAGCCCTTTGTCTTCTGTACAATTCTAGGTATCCCTAGGTGTTGCATGCAGTCTCTCTAGGTAAGTTTTTTTTTAGACTGGGAACCAATATAAACAAGGTGTACTATTGGCAGACTACAGATTTGTAAAATTTTCGAAACATTTTTTTGTTCATAAATGTAAAAGTTCTAAAGATGAGACCTAGGTTCCTGTTGGAGTGTTTGCTTTGGCTACAGAAGTTGATATGTGATTTTCAAATTTTGCTTTGCTGCCTACAATAACTCCAGTCTTTTTCGAATTCACTGTCTACTGTACGGATAGTATGTATCTGACCTTCCTGCGTTATGGTGTACTGGTGATTGTCCCTTGTGGTTTGTCCAATATTGTGGTGTTTACATTTGGGTCGACTACAACAGCTAAGTTCACTTTCTATTCGCCATTGGTGTCTACTACTATATCAATTCAACTATGTCAAAACAGCCAAGTTCACTAGCGTGCTAATTGGAAATGGTGAAAGTTGACCTGCCATTTGCCAAGACTCTGGTATCTCTTCTCGTCAACCAGTGTGACAGGTAGTTATACTGGTATCTATAATGTATAGGCAGACTTATGTACTATCACTTTGGTTTGGTTTTATTTTGTTTAAGGTCCAATTAACAGCAATGGTCATTTAAGGACGTGCCTCCATGTGTGTAGTGTATGCGTGCTAGCGTGTATGTATGCAGGAGACAGGGTATGTTGTTGTTCTTGCCTCCTTGTGATAGCGCGGATCTGATGGCGACTTTATAATGCCATCTCACTGAAATGCCATGCCGAAGGCACCCAGTACAGCATTCCACCCGGTCTTATTGTACTGACAACGGGTGAACCAGTTGTTGCCATTTCCCTAACTACTGATCGTTAAGCAGGGAATAACAACTACCATTTTTAAGGACTTTGGTATGTCCCGGCCTCGGGAAAGTTTACCCATTGCTTTCCTCACCTGGGTGAATGCTCAACATTCAAGCCAAAAGTGAGGTATTGCCAAGCAAGGCGTTGGGAAATAAAAGGTAGTTAGAAGTAGAAAGAAAGATAAAGATCCCAAATATTGCAATTGGTGCAGCAGATTTATTTTGGTCGCTTTTGTGTCCCCAAATAGAAGACATCAAAGCAAATCCCCAAATATGCAGGGGGTTTCCACATTAGTCACATCCTACTATACATGCAGTGAGTAACAGCAGGTGTATTCTTTTCAAGATCCCCCACCTGCAGGGGTGTGCATAGCCCAAGTTTCCTTTGGCCCTAACACCAGACTTAGACATTTTGACATATAGATGCCTGGTGTTTTGCTAGAGCGCACTGCTATATAAAACCGTGGAATTCTCCGACACCTTTCGGTATCAGGGTGTGACTAATCATAAAAAAGATGCGGTCTGGAAATCTTCTAAACAAGAATAATATATACCGTTTTCGGTCCGGTTCAGTACAGTTTGCTGATAAGTCACCCCATGACCTACAAAAATGGCGTTCTCTCAGATGGGAAATTTTGAACGATTGAAAATCGAGGACTCTATGTTTGGAGGGTCCCGGGTTTGAACCCTGGTCTGGTCGTGCATTTTTCCTCTCCTGTTACATTTGGAGCCCAACGAAATATACCCACAGAACGTGTTATAGGGTCTCGGGGTCTCGTGTGTCTTCAGGGTGGAAGACTTTGGTAAAGGAGGGAGGAATGCAGCAGAACTGGACTGGTTCGATTGTCGGCGACCAGATAGCTCAATTGGTAGAGCATCCATCTAGAATTCGGAGGGTCACGGGTTCGAACCCCGGTCTTGCCATGCATTTTTCCTCTCCTGTTACATTTGGCCCCCAACGAAATATACCCACATAAGGTGGTATAGGGTCACGTGTGTCTTCAGGGTCGAAGACTTTGGGAAAAGTGGGAGGAATGTAGCGGAACTGGACTGGTTCGATCGTCGGCGACAAGATAGCTCAATTGGTAGAGCATCCATCTAGAGTTTGGAGGGTCCCGGGTATGAACCCTGGTCTGGCCGTGCATTTTTCCTCTCCTGTTACATTTGGCACCGTACGAAATATACCCACAGACGGTGGTAAAGAGTCTTGTGTGTCTTCAGGGTTGAACACTTTGATAATAAAGGAGGGAGGAATGTAGCGGAATTGGACTGGTTCGATCGTCGGCGACCAGATAGCTCAATTGTAAAGCATCAGTCTAGAGTTCGGAGGGTCCCGGGATCGAACCCCTGGCCGTGCATTTTTCCTCTCCTGTTACATCATCACCTCATTACTCTCCGATAACAAACGGTGTCAGAGAATTCCATGTTTTCATATATAGCAGTGCGCTCTGGCCCCACAAAGACATCTATATGTCAAAATGTCTAAGTCTGGTGTTAGGGCCAGAGGACTCGGACTATGGGTGCACGATCACACTAAACTGCAAGGCGCGAGTGAAACAATTTTTTCGGCAGTAATTGTTTCTATTTGACATACTATATGCATAAACATATTGATTAAATCAATATAATGCAGTTTTACATGAACAAGTTGTAGTCAAAATAATGTTGTTACCATAAAAATCTTTTGACTTTGTAAAAACCATCCCGAACGTAACATTTTCATGGAAAGCGCCATCTTGTTGTTCCGCACAAATGGTGTGTGACGTTTATGTATAAAGTAATCAAATTTATATTTGTATTACATAATTGTTATAATCAATTTTATAACATTATTAATTTTCTGTTTATCTTATAAGATATTTTACAGAATGTTATTAAAATTAACGAATCAGTTTATCAGATTAAATACTGTGCGGAGCTACTGCGTTACCAGTTCTGCCTTGACAACGGTGTATTTAGCAGACAGTTTGGACGCTGTTAGGGCAAGTTCCATCAAGTAGTTTGACATACACTATCTAGGAAGGAGCCAAACAGTTCCAAAATGAGTCAACGGCAAGTGTTACAAGGTATGAGTTTAACTATATATGTTATAATTAGCACTGTATTCAGCAGTGAAACACATACAGGCTTAGAATCGTTAATGAAACTGTTTGAGAATGGTTTTGTGTGCATGCTGCTCTTTTAGACAGACTTTTTCAGTTGGTACGTTTAGATTTTGCTTTTTCAAACCCTTTAATGATCAAATGATTGTGACAGAATTATACGATTTTTAATAGATACGTTTCGTTCTGTTATATTTGCATGTATATAGTGTTTTCACAATCTGACGAGAATGACAACAAAAAATGTCATCAATAAACAAAGATAAAAATGTTCTTTATTATTTGCAATTTCCTTAATTCGGGAAGAGTACTTTTAAAAAGTGCTGTATTATATTTTATGTAAACCATAGTTCTTCAATCTTCATAAATGTTGTTAATCTACATCAATAAGGTTAATCAGTGTTAATTGTTTTGCATGTTGCTAACACAGCAACATAATGCCCAAAAAGGTTCTTGCCCTAGCTTTGTAAACAATACTTTGTGTTATCAGTGACAGCCTGGTAGACTTCATACCATCCTATTTGACATCGTGATACCAAGCAATCACCAGGTTTGAATCACAGGTGCTCAGGTTCTAATAGTATAAGGGGGTGCGATTTCTCATGATCTAGTGGGGTGCGATAACATATTATCGCATATATATTCCAGAACCCGAGCACCTGTGGTTTGAAATAAAAGAGCTTACTTAAGGATCATTCATAATACAGCGCAAAATTTATTTTGGTTTCCAAGATAATGATAATCAGCACAAATAAAGTCAACCAATTCCATAATATTTTTCATTCTGATATGCAGATGTACAACAAAGTCAATACAGAATATGCTATATAAAATCACATCATAAATATATCCCAGTAAAAACTCTTTATTGATATTAACCTGGTATATGCATTTGCAGTATTTGACGTTAGCTTAGTAGGCAAAGGCTGCCACTATGTCATCTATATCCAAACCAAAACCCAGCCCTGAAATTTGGTTAAGTTAGTATCACTCTGAATATACCAGATATATAAATTTATGGAAATGTACTAAATACGTTGCAGTGTTTGAGCAATACCAGAAGGCAAGAACACAGTTTGTCCAGACAGTAGCAGAGTTGGCAAGCAGACCCCAGAACATTGAAACACTTCAAAATGCTGGTGTTATGTCTCTTCTGCGACCTCTTTTATTGGACATCGTGCCAACCATCCAACAGACTGCTGCTTTGGCACTAGGACGACTGGCCAACTACAACGATGACTTGGCAGAGGCGGTTGTAAAGGGTGACATTCTTCCCCAACTTGTCTACTCCCTTGCTGAGCAAAACGTAAGTAGACTTCAAAATTGCATGGCAATCAATGTTATATGCCATATTTAGAAAGAGCTCATGGGGATCTTAAATATTGTTCACTATAGAGATATAATAAAGATAACAGACCTGGTTTCATATTAATTTGACTTTCTTTGCCAGGTGACACAAAAATAATGTTAATGATAGTAAACATAAATATTATGTTAAACCATTAAGTACTGTCAAGTAATTTCGAAGCATTCAGTGTGATTCATATAAGACAGACTTTCAGAAGAGGGAAATGTACACAAATCCCTTACTCTGGAGAAATCAGTGTTTCGTAGTTCCAGTTGAGGAATAATTAAGCAAACAAACATTTTGCCTAAAGTTGAATTTGATACTGGAATAGAACAGTTTTCAAGTGTCTGTAATTTCAATGAAAATCAAATAGAGGATGGTTTTTTATCGTTACATATATTTGCCTCTCTTTTCATATATTTATTTTTAATTTTTAAAGAGATTCTACAAGAAGGCTGCTGCATTTGTGCTGAGGGCTGTGGCTAAACACTCCCCACAACTGGCCCAGTCTGTGGTAGATTGTGGTGCACTGGATGCACTTGTCATCTGTTTGGAGGAATTTGATCCGGGTGTAAAGGAGGCCGCAGCGTGGGCATTAGGTTACATAGCCAGGCATAATGCAGGTAAAAAGCACAAAAAAAATCACAAACATTTTGTTTCAGTTTAATTTAAAATAATGAAAGTGAATATCTAGTCAATATCTAGTCTGAAGTTAAACATTATTCAGAAAACTGGTGCAAGCCACCTGAACATACAGATATGGTACAGTTTAATTCAATAGATCATAGATGGATATACATTGTTACTGTTCATTAAAAGTAAAAGTTCTTAATATTAGAAAAACATTCAATCTTACATACCTGTTATATCTTAAGTTACTCATTAAAACTAATTTGACTTCATTTAATGTATCTTTATAAACTACAATTTTCCACCATTGCTGCTGCAGAGCTTGCCCAGGCTGTTGTTGATGCTGGAGCTGTTCCTCTGCTAGTCCTGTGTATCCAGGAGCCAGAGCTCTCCCTGAAACGCATTGCTGCTTCTGCTCTCAGTGATATCTGCAAACATTCCCCGGAGCTTGCCCAGACTGTAGTGGATGCAGGAGCAATCGCCCACTTAGCTCAAATGATTCTCAACCCTGATGCTAAACTCAAGGTAAGTCTCTTAACTTTGTCTCAAATGATTAGTGTCTAGAGTGGAAGAAAAATCCCCCTTACATGTATGTAAGATCTATAATATTACTTTAAGTATAATGTCAAATACTCTATATGCATCCCTTTGTTATCACAGTTAAGCTTTGTCAGTGAGGAGTGCTCTTCAAAACCATTTTGGACACAACTGTTTAACAAATGGTTGTCAAGCCAAAGTATTTAAAATAACGGACAAATAATTTTTTTTTTTTTCATTGATTGAAGTTTATGTTATTCAAACATATACTTTGAAATTGGACATAAATAATAAGATATTAAGAACATTTCATGTTAAATTGCATGATACATTGCAGATGCATGAAACAAGCAAAATTACATACAAGATACATAGAAAAATGGTGTTTTATACAAAAGCTTGAAATTAATTATAACCTAAATGTACACAAAGCAATTTCACATTAAGTTGAATTCACATTGTCATAATTGGAAGGCAGGAAAAATCTGCAAGTTTTGTTTTTGTTAAAAATGACGGAAAATTTTGTACATCCACAGAGGCAAGTGTTCTCCGCCCTGAGTCAGATTTCCAAACACTCTGTGGACCTGGCTGAGATGGTGGTAGAGGCAGAAATCTTCCCAGCGGTACTCACTTGTCTTAAAGATCCTGACGAGTATGTCAAGAAGAATGTTGCCACCCTTATCAGAGAAATTGCAAAACACACTCCAGAGGTGAGTTAAATTAATTCATAAGAACCAAATGTTGTTGGATTATTTATTTGTACATCTAACAATAAGATAGCTCGTAATACTATTGAGAGAAAAAAAATGAAATTCACTTATTTCGCACAATTGAAGAGGTTTTAATAAATGTTACATAGGAATTATTTGACACTTTCATATTAAAGGAGAGAGTTATTTCCCTTTCATTCCTTTTCACTTTACCATCATCCAGTAACATATTATGTGCAAATACTTATGCATGTAAACATAATATATGTTATATCTTTTTAACTTTAAAAGTTCAGAGCTGCATACTTAAACATTTATCTTTGAAAGATATTTTTGATATTTTGTGCAAGAAATTATTCTTGCCAGCTAAAAGCTATTTAAAACCACAAATAAAGAGATTGTTAGATTCCTTGAAATTGTATATTAAGAGTGTTTTCTTATATTTTTTTCCTTTTTTTTCTATTTTGGTTAAAACTTAAAAAAAACTGCTTGAAAATTAAATTACAAATGTTTTACTAATACTTGCTTTTAAAAACGTAGGGTCCCAATAGCAAGCAGGTGATGTTCAATTTGGTAACACAAAGGAATGCGAGACAAACTTTTTTTTTTATAAAGAAAAAAATTGGGGTTTACTGTTAACTGTATTCCATTTCATCTTTTTTGATTTCCTTCATCATGGTTATGTATTTGTAGCTTGCTCAATTGATCGTAAATGCTGGTGGCGTAGCTGCCGTGGTGGACTACATTGGAGACTCCAAGGGTAATGTTAGACTTCCTGGAATAATGATGTTGGGATACGTAGCCGCTCACTCAGAAAATCTTGCCATGGCTGTTATTGTTTCTAAGGTAATTGTTATGATTATTCTGCTTTCGCTTATGAATGTCAAAAAAAGTAAAAAACATTTTCATTTCCTTGTAATTTTAATTTTTGTTGATTAAACACTTTGAATTTGTAACAAGGAGCAAAAGATATGGTTGATCAGCTGTTCCAAGTTTTTATAATTAAGTAAAACTAAAAGTAAATGCATATAAAATGGATTGTTTTTGGTTGATTGTATATTACTGTACAGAACTGGACTTTTTAAGATTTCATAACTTTAGTAATACTTAGTTTTACATTTGTTCCACTATACCGTATGTCTGATTCACAATGATATTTCAACTGTATGTTTCAATAATAATTGATTCCTTTAGATAAAATGCAATATTATAGAGAATATTCTATGATTTCAGTGTACATGTATTTATATATATTGAAACAACGAATCTGTTTTTGCTGAAATTGATCGATGTATCATACATTTCTATTCTCAGGGTGTTGTACAGTTAGCCATTGCTCTATCTGAGGAACCAGAGGATCATCTTCAAGCCGCTGTAGCGTGGGCACTTGGACAGATTGGTCGCCACACCCCAGAACACTCGAAAGCAGTCGCTGTCGCTAATGTCCTCCCCAAATTACTCAATTGTTACCTCCGTGCTGATGCCACAGAAGACTTACAGACCAAGGTAATGTTCTCTCTAGTTTTTTTAATTATTTGATGTGCACTTCATGCAGGAATAAAAACTTGATATGTTATATTTGGTAACTTTTATTCGTATTAAAAATGTCTTAATTCATTGGAAATGAATATTTTGGTTTGTAGAGTAAAAGATCCCTGAAGAATAACCTACAGAAATGTGTACACCTACCTGCCTTAGAACCTCTGCTACATGACGCCCCTCCAAATATCCTCAAACATGTTGTCGGACAGTTCAGCAAAGTCCTCCCACACGATTCCAAAGCCAGACGATTCTTTGTTACAAGTGGTGGCCTGAAGAAAATCCAGGAAATCAAGGCAGAACCTGGATCTGCCCTCGCCGAATATGTCAACACAATCAACAACTGCTACCCAGAAGAAATTGTCAAGTGAGTTATCCTGTTGAAACTATGTTAAAACCAAAATGAAATGGAAAGTGTGGTACATATATATAAGTTTGGAAATTAAGAGAAAAAAAATCAATTGTTAGGACAAATGACATGGATAGCTACCTATATTGGTCAAAAAGTGCATGTGAAAATTAAGACAAATTGGTATTTATATCCTAGAGGACAGTTGAATAAATCAATTTATATTAATCAGAAGGGTACAGTATTTTCTGTTACCATAGTAAATACAATTTTTCATTTGTTATTTTTTCAGATACTACTCCCCTGGATATTCCGATGCCCTCCTGGAGAGAGTGGAAAATTTTGCACCCAAATCTTAGAGAGCTGTTTATTGACTTATCTACACTTGTTGTCATGTACTATGTTATTCATTGCGGACATTTTGATACATTTACATGCTGTGAATCTGAAGTTTCAAGTTCCATGGTGGCTAGAAAGGAAGTTTTACATTGCCTAATCTAGCGGTTTATTACAGTCGTGTTAAACCATCAGTTATTATTCACCATGGAGGTCTACAAGTGCTCATGAATAAAGAAAAGTACTGGACATCAATCTTATACAAATTGAAGATTTACTTTTAATTACGCTGGAATCCTGTGATTTGTTGTAATTTATTTACATTACATTTTTACATTACTCAAAAATTAAAAAAATAGATTTGTATATCTACCAGGATACTGACGAAATGTATTTTTCTACACAAATGATTTCTTTTACATTATATTTGATATTGAAAATCCCTGCTGAAATGGATGCTGAAAGAGAAAATGAATCTCGATTTTGTCTATAGAAACTGCGAGAAGTTTTAGTATCAAATCAATACTTACGGTATTTTTTTTACCTATTTTTGTTTAGTTGAAACATTTTTTTCTAAGGCCAGAATTTTCATTTACATTTTGAAACTTAAATAGTAGTTAAACCAAAGTATTAGAAAAAAAGGTATTTTGAGAAATGTATGCATATAACAGCGGTAAATTAAATAAACATATAACAAAGACGGAAACAGTATCATGTAGTGTTAGTAATTTATAATCACATGTGTTACATTTATTTTTGTTCTGGGTGGGACGATTAGGAGTTGGGGGATGATACTTGTGAATGGGAGGAGGGAGGGGGTGGTCGGCAATGTAAAGAATCAGAAATATGTGGAGAACAATTGAGAAAAGTGAAATGAACTCTGTTAATGAGTTAGCAGTTATGAAGGTCAACTTAAATAATTCTGAGTGGGAGGGATAGGGGCCGGGGGAGGATAATCATGGTTTGAAGAGTGAGAACAAGATCAGAAATGTGAAGGAATCAGAAATATGTGGAGTAGAAATGTGGAATTAATGGAATTACGATATATATTGATATAAAGGGCAACTATACCAGATGTCAAAGTCAACTTATGTATAACTGAGGCTAAAGATCATAAAAATAAGATTAGAAGTAAACCATTGTGAAAATAACACTTGCGGCTATATAGCTTTTAAATCAAATAGTTGTGTATATCCACTGACAAAGATTTGATGACGTAAAATATAACAGACATCAAAACAATACAATATAGCTATAACTAGTCAATATTTGAAGCTTGTTTAACTTATAGGAAAGAGACTATATGGATCATTTGTAGGAAAGGCTATATATAGATCGTTTGTACTGACATAATACAAATAAGAAATATTCTTATGCAAGCAGGTAAAACAAACGAATAAATTAATTTTTCGGAAGCATGTGTTGTATTTTTTATGTATGTATACTTCCACTGAATTCGAGATCCTCCATAAGCATTATCAAATCAAATTGCATTCATAGGGCTATATTTTTGGTGTCTCTTTATGTCATTTGTTACTTTAGTGTTTTTACTATTCCCCTCGCAACGAAGGTTCGAGTGTTTCATCCCTCAACAAAATTTCATGAAACTTCATGCAAGTGTTTGGCAAGTCCAGTTTCTATGTTCAAGGTCAAGGTCACTACTATTTTTAGAAAAACTTAGGCATCGCTCTACCGACTTCATTCCTCAACGAATTTTAATGAAACTTGATACAAGTGTTTGGTAAGACAATACCTTGAACAAGATCGCGTTTTGGAGTTTTACCTTGAAGGTCAAGGTCACTGTTACTATTTTTAGAAAAACTTAGTCATAGCTCTACCAACTTCATTCCTCAACGAAATTTCATGAAACTTCATTTAAATTTATTGGTATGACAATACCTTGAACAAGTTCTCGTTTCAGGTTTCTATGTTGAAGGTCAAGGTCACTGATACTATTTTTAGAAAAAAACTTTGTCATCGCGCTACCGACTTCATTCCTCAATGAATATTCATGAAACTTGATAAAAGTGTTCGGTAAGACAATACCTTGAACAAGTTCTCGTTTCGAGTTTCTATGTTGAAGGTAAAGGTCACTGTAACTATTTTTAGAAAAACTTTGTCATTGCTCTACCGATTTCATTCCTCAAAGCAATTTCATGAAACTTGATATACTTGTTTGGTATGGCAATAACTTTAACAAGTTCGCGTTTCAGGTTACTGCGGTAAAGGTCAAGGTTACTTTTACTACTTTTAGAAAAAAAACTCATCGCTCTAGCCACTTCATTTCCTTTTACATATGTCACAATGTGTGAATACGAGGGGATTTGTATTACTTGTGATATCTTGTTACACATATACTAGCCTCGTCTGTCAATACACCCATACATGATTATATTATGGGTGTATTGACAGACGAGTCTAGTACCTGTGCTCATTATAAACGGTTTAGAAGTGCGTTTTTTTCTACAAATGGCTGCTACTTTTAGGTACACAACCTTTTCATGAGAAATATTCTGATTAGTAAGGCAGTTTATCAATTACGGCAGATTTTAATTATATATGTGAGAACGGTCATACTTTAATTTGTAAGCTCGCGCCATCGGAAATTTTCCATCAGCTGAATTGGTCGAGCGGCAGACGGGGAAACTGGGGGACACTGGTTTGGAAGCACATTTTTCTCTTTCCTGTTACACAATTATTGAATATATTTTTCAAATGAGTGTTTATAGTTTATGGTTCCCGTCGGACGTTCACAATAAACTGTGTACATGATTCATTGGAAGTTTTGCCCATAGCCAGATTAAATACGAATTTCGTTTTATTTGTACACGTAACATTAATCTCTAAGGACTAGTTAAGCACAGGCTTAGACTATTTAAAATGGTCTCAAAGCTTTCGCTATGACCTACATATGGCCATGGCATGGTGTAATGCAGGAATTACTGATAAGAACAATTAAATATTACATGTTCATTCTATCCCGAGTTTGCTCTGGCCCTAACACCAGACTGAGACATTTTGACATACAGATGGAAACTCGGGCTACTGTTCATTCATTTTTTATTACTTTAAACCTTGCGCTTTATCAGTACAGTGCGCATATACAGTGGAAATAATACAAATATATACAAGTTTAAGTTTATACATATGTTATTGTACAAAGATACAAATGGATTGAACAACATGTTATTGTAACTTAATAAAAAGTCCTCTCCTCAATACAAATGGTAAAAATAATGTATAAACTTTGATATTATTTGGACCATTATTTTTACTGAAAGCATCGGAAATTTCAGAACAATTGTTAATAGATTAAGTTGCCATCGAAAGGTTAGATTGTATCGGAGGCAAAATCAGGAAAATATCACAATTTCGCTGGTCTGTCTCGAAATCTACTTTCGGTAAAAACGGCACCCCCAATGATGATATATTTACCAAAAGTCGATCTAAACCCCTAATACGTGTAAAATTAATCTAAACACTTTAGGTTAGATGCAGATATAGCTATAATAAATTATCAGATCCCTGTGACTCGGTAAATCCTACGCATTTCCCCAAACTCTTTGATAACAAACCATCGTTTAATTATATTTCCAGTACGGTGTGTTTAAGACAAGATATAAAAGATGTTAAAATATAACACAGCCTTTCATCTGACTCATCTTCAGAATCACTTGCTTGTAACGTGAGGTACTGCACGTGCCTAGGACACGTGCTAATTAATCTCCCCCTTTCGGGTATTGGAATAGCTCCAGCACCCGGTGTAAATACATTATTGTGTACCAACATTCGCGAAGATTAACCGTGGAGTCGTTAATTACAGTAATTTTTCTTCTTAATGCTTCCTGCATGTCACGTTAAACGTGAACACATCCAGCAAACTGGTGAATCTGACACAGCAAGTGTGAGATCACAGCTCCCCATGCCACTGCCGAAAAAACGTAACCATGTCCCGATAGTTACATAGCTTTGAAAAACATTTCTGAAAAGAAATCCATTTAAGCATTGGACAGCGCGCATTATGATTTGTTTTCTTGCAAAGCTGTGTCATTCAAATAGATCATAAATACCATACAAAAACAGTTCAATACTTATATTTACGTTTTCTCTGCCTCCTATGTTCTTTTTTAACTTGTAATTCATATTCAAAATTTAAAAAGCCCTCCTTATCGACAGTCCACAAAATTTCGTTCAATAGTTTGAACAGCGTGTTTGTCGCGTGCTGATTGGCAAACAAAGTAGTACTTTGAAATTTTAACAAACACTTCAATTTTATTCCACAATTCAGTATTAATACAATTGCGTATGATATGTCTATAGGGTGATTTAAGTTTATCAATAGAACTCTGAGCTGAAAGTTAGATTTGAAATTGTTTCGATTTCCCCCCGGAACAAATTTTGCGCATGGACAAATACAGTGAACACCGTAAATCCGACCTTGCCCTCCACTAGGGAGTTATTTTTGGAAGTTAATTCGAACTTTTCTCTTTGCCCATTTTGTGAAGATTGTATGGGAATCTGGCTACAGTCTGTAGATTCTATAACAGCCTCGTTATTTGACATGTCGTCAGAAACAGTGGCTGCGAGACGCGTGAAACTGATAGCGTTTGAAGCGAGTGATCTTGCGACGGAGCACAGGGTCAGGGGTTCATTACAAATGTCTGAAATGTTTATGTTTGCTGTGACTCATATCAGTATGTTTGTAACATATGTGTCAGTAGGTCTATACAATATGTTTATTTCAGACATTTGTAACGAACCCCTGTTGGTCAGTGCAGTGTAACAGACGATATTTTAGATAAATTGCATGAGCGTTAAAATTGTTTCCATTGCCGGCATTGGTGATTTCAACCGATGTGCATTTTGTACGATATTGCAGACCTTGGTCTTGTTTGTATTGTAATAAAAGTATTTTTTATTTTATTTTATATTTTGCACATAAATTTACAATGACATTGTCAAATCTCATAATGCCTAGCGATATTTCAGCAGCCGTTATGTTTATTTACATTGGTTATTGTAGTTCCGGTCAGTGTTGTATTAATACGCTGAGAATTATGTCCCGTGCTGCATGGTAATTAAAGTCCCATCAACGACACAGCTTTCAAAGAGTCTTTATAGTGACAATGCCATGCAAATGTAACTATATCACTCTGAACTTTAAATTTGATTTTTTTTTATAAAGAATAAACAATCAATAACAGGGTCCTGGATGTAAAGATGTACAAGACTAAGATTCGAACCCTGGACCTCCGATCAGTATGCTGTCGCTCTAACAATCTGATGACCTTTACCTTGTCAACGGTATTACTGTTGGCAAGCACATTACAGTGATATCAAAAGGGAATTAAATAGTGGTTGCTGTTTGAACAAAAAACTACAAGGAAATCTTTTTTTTTTGTCCGCAGTGGAACAGAGATCCCCGAGGTGTACATTGAACTGCCGGTTCTAACACTGTTGACGCTTTAAATTATGGAAAGGACACATTCGTCCTGAAGTAAACACTTACTGTATATAGATAATAAACAGTAACAGTTAATTGCCTTTTAAATTGACTTCAAATGTGATCGATTGTCGTTTGTATGTTTTTTCATTACCATTTAAGATGTCAAACAGAAATATCGTTCCGGTTTCAGGAAGGGAGTCCCGATGGTCGGTACCGTTATGCAGATAAGACATCGGAAACTCTACCTCTACAAATGACAGACTACACATTTGCTTTCTTCACAATTTGACCTAGTTGTTCAAATCTTGTTTAGCTGAACGCCAACATTACGCGTGTATCTAATACCTTTTCAAATATGTCGAAACTAATCTTTAAAAGTCTACAGTGACATATCCTCTGGGGACAACAGATTTTAAACTTGTCCATGAAAAACAGACTTTTAGGGAAAAAGAAGTCAGCGAATTGTTAAGCTAACCATTCATGAGTAATCGAACTTTGGAATTTACTATGACGTATGGTATACACCCTATCAATATTATTTCTTGTTTTACCCTTTTAAGTTCCTTTGTATGTTACGTATAAGGTAAACTTTCGTAAGTGGTTACAGGGTTTTTATTTCGTCAATAAACTTTACGGGTGCTAGGGTGCATCAAAAACAAACAAAGAATTACCGGCATTTCCTGAGTTATGTTTCCGTGTTTATCAAGTTAACTCCATCAAAAAGAAATCTTGTACACAGAGTCACTGTTAAATTCCCAAGGTACCTGTAAGTCTGTGGCAGACCCATCAAACGTTTAGTAAATGACGTGTATATCATTATGTAAAGGTAATGGACAGCTCCACATCCGAGCGTACTGTTGACACTGCCACCCTCTGATAACATACCTTACTGTAAGTAACGCCCCACATCGCGCTCTCACATCACTGGACCAGAGACAGTAACTCCTTTACGTATAATATAGGGTTGGG